AACTTCCCTAACTCTAAATTATGACATACTAGGTCACAATTATACATAAAAATTCATAATTATAGGATAAAAAAGTAAAATATATGACATAAAAAGTCGAAATTATCAACAGAATCAACATAAAACATGTTTATTAAATAAAAAGTCAAAATAATTGTCAATAAAAAATGTCATAATTATGACATACTAAGCCATAATTTTAAGATAATATTCTTAGAAATAAGAACATCGAAATTATCCCCAAAAAATTACATAAAATACCACAATTATTAAAAGTAAAAATTGTTTAAAACGTACAAATTACGAGATTAAAAAGTCAAAAGTATCCCAAAAAGTAATAATTATGATAAAAAAACCTTGAAATTATGACATAGTAAGTCATAATTATAAGATAAAAAGTAGAAATTAAGACATATGTCAAAATTATTCCCAAACAAATCTACACAAAAATACCACAATTATTAAACAAAAGTAAAATTTGTTGGAAAATCAAAATTATGCCAAAGAATTTAAATTATAAGATTAAAAAGTCAAAATTATGACAAAAAGTAATAATTATGATTTTAAAACCTTGAATTTAGGACATACTATGTCACAATTATAAGATAAAAAGTAGAAACTGGGACATCAAAATGATCCAAATTGACATAAAATACCACAATTATTAAACAAAAAGTATAAATTATGTTTAAAGAGTCAAAATTACGAGATTGAAAAGTCAAATTTATGCCAAAAAAATGACAAACTAAGTCATAATTATAAGATATATATAAGATTATAAGATAAAAAGAAATTAAGATATACTCAAAATTATAATATACTAAGTCATAATTATTGATTTGTCTCTAAACAAATATAATTATTGAAATATAATGAATAAGTCTTGAAGTTATGTTATTGTAAAAATTAATACTTAAGGGTTTACACATTGAGGCTTTATATGTTGCTGTTAAATAATAATATTAAAATTTGTTTAAAAATGTTTTTAAATGTAACATTTGCACTGACATTAATTTGCCTCATTTAAGATCCTGCAGCACCAGAAAAAACTAAATTGTCGCTGCATTTAATATAAAACCATCCTCTATTCTGATTACACTCGCAATTACATTTGAATGCAAAATTATTGAACATTTATATGAAATATTTGACGTGACTGTGTATGTCTTTGTGTGTGTCTGGCAATGCTGACAGCAGAAACAATGGCGTTGAATGTCACTACATGTTCAACAGTTTAATCTAAATTAATTAGATTTTAATGATCTATGGCTCATTAGTAGCTACAGCTGTATTTAACATCCAACAAGTCATCAGAATCAGCTGGCATGTGGTGGCTTTACACATGCAAACGAGGCTTTAATCTGAGTTAACAGTGTGTGATGCTGACAACATGCAAACAAACGCTTGACGATGTAAACCATGTTTATATTTGCTGAACGGCTGCAGAGACTCTGACAGTAATGAATGCATGGAAACACAAAGGCATGAATCCTGCAGAAGTGCTGCTGCCTCTACTGTTACGGCTTTTCTTTAGTGCTGCACTTTGCCATAAACGACTGAAATGTACTGAGAACCACTCAATAACCAGAGAAAACTAGAAAAAAATAGCTCATCCTGAAATGCATTTCTAGAACGCAGATGCATCAAAATAAGACTATTTTTATGTAGTGATAAATAATAGATATTATATATATGTATATTTGCATTATTTGACAACTCTTTAGCCTGACATGATTATAATAATAGTCTATGTTGAACATTTAGACAAGGACATTTTATTTATTTTTTTGACATTTTTGACATTTTCAGTTTGCATATGTGTTTTTTGTTGAGTATTGCTCCATCAGGCTTTTCTGGCTCATATAGTCTGATAAAGTGAGAATATGCAGGCAAAAACAGCTCAGTTTTATTCAGAGCCTCAAACTTTGCTGCAAATGCTGATATTTATATGATTAAATTCTGCTGCTTGTGATGTAAATCAGTGAGATCTTTATAACAGTAGAGCAGATACTGACATAAAATGATCTAAAGTCGTCTCTACATCTCCAGTAATGTGTCTCAGTAAGATGAGAGTGAAATGATCCAAACATATAATGCAGTGATTGAGAGCTGAAGAAATAAAGGCTCTACGAGATTAAAAAGTCAGAAGTATGCCAAAAAGTGATAATTATGATTAAAAAAACCTTGAAATTATGACATACTAAGTCATGATTATAAGATAAAAAGTAGAAATTATCTAAAAAATATCTACATAAAATACCACAATTATTAAACAAAAGTAAAAATCGTTGGAAAAGTCAAAATTATGACAAAAAGTAATAATTATAACTTTAAAAAAAAAACTTAAAATTATGATATACTAATTCACAATTATAAGATAAAAAGTAACTTCCCTAACTCTAAATTATGACATACTAGGTCACAATTATACATAAAAATTCATAATTATAGGATAAAAAAGTAAAATATATGACATAAAAAGTCGAAATTATCAACAGAATCAACATAAAACATGTTTATTAAATAAAAAGTCAAAATAATTGTCAATAAAAAATGTCATAATTATGACATACTAAGCCATAATTTTAAGATAATATTCTTAGAAATAAGAACATCGAAATTATCCCCAAAAAATTACATAAAATACCACAATTATTAAAAGTAAAAATTGTTTAAAACGTACAAATTACGAGATTAAAAAGTCAAAAGTATCCCAAAAAGTAATAATTATGATAAAAAAACCTTGAAATTATGACATAGTAAGTCATAATTATAAGATAAAAAGTAGAAATTAAGACATATGTCAAAATTATTCCCAAACAAATCTACACAAAAATACCACAATTATTAAACAAAAGTAAAATTTGTTGGAAAATCAAAATTATGCCAAAGAATTTAAATTATAAGATTAAAAAGTCAAAATTATGACAAAAAGTAATAATTATGATTTTAAAACCTTGAATTTAGGACATACTATGTCACAATTATAAGATAAAAAGTAGAAACTGGGACATCAAAATGATCCAAATTGACATAAAATACCACAATTATTAAACAAAAAGTATAAATTATGTTTAAAGAGTCAAAATTACGAGATTGAAAAGTCAAATTTATGCCAAAAAAATGACAAACTAAGTCATAATTATAAGATATATATAAGATTATAAGATAAAAAGAAATTAAGATATACTCAAAATTATAATATACTAAGTCATAATTATTGATTTGTCTCTAAACAAATATAATTATTGAAATATAATGAATAAGTCTTGAAGTTATGTTATTGTAAAAATTAATACTTAAGGGTTTACACATTGAGGCTTTATATGTTGCTGTTAAATAATAATATTAAAATTTGTTTAAAAATGTTTTTAAATGTAACATTTGCACTGACATTAATTTGCCTCATTTAAGATCCTGCAGCACCAGAAAAAACTAAATTGTCGCTGCATTTAATATAAAACCATCCTCTATTCTGATTACACTCGCAATTACATTTGAATGCAAAATTATTGAACATTTATATGAAATATTTGACGTGACTGTGTATGTCTTTGTGTGTGTCTGGCAATGCTGACAGCAGAAACAATGGCGTTGAATGTCACTACATGTTCAACAGTTTAATCTAAATTAATTAGATTTTAATGATCTATGGCTCATTAGTAGCTACAGCTGTATTTAACATCCAACAAGTCATCAGAATCAGCTGGCATGTGGTGGCTTTACACATGCAAACGAGGCTTTAATCTGAGTTAACAGTGTGTGATGCTGACAACATGCAAACAAACGCTTGACGATGTAAACCATGTTTATATTTGCTGAACGGCTGCAGAGACTCTGACAGTAATGAATGCATGGAAACACAAAGGCATGAATCCTGCAGAAGTGCTGCTGCCTCTACTGTTACGGCTTTTCTTTAGTGCTGCACTTTGCCATAAACGACTGAAATGTACTGAGAACCACTCAATAACCAGAGAAAACTAGAAAAAAATAGCTCATCCTGAAATGCATTTCTAGAACGCAGATGCATCAAAATAAGACTATTTTTATGTAGTGATAAATAATAGATATTATATATATGTATATTTGCATTATTTGACAACTCTTTAGCCTGACATGATTATAATAATAGTCTATGTTGAACATTTAGACAAGGACATTTTATTTATTTTTTTGACATTTTTGACATTTTCAGTTTGCATATGTGTTTTTTGTTGAGTATTGCTCCATCAGGCTTTTCTGGCTCATATAGTCTGATAAAGTGAGAATATGCAGGCAAAAACAGCTCAGTTTTATTCAGAGCCTCAAACTTTGCTGCAAATGCTGATATTTATATGATTAAATTCTGCTGCTTGTGATGTAAATCAGTGAGATCTTTATAACAGTAGAGCAGATACTGACATAAAATGATCTAAAGTCGTCTCTACATCTCCAGTAATGTGTCTCAGTAAGATGAGAGTGAAATGATCCAAACATATAATGCAGTGATTGAGAGCTGAAGAAATAAAGGCTCCTCAGAAGATGTGAGATGTTCTGGAGGCTTGTGAAGATCATTCCTCCGCTGAGGAACAGTGAAAGTAAAGCTTCTGGAAACAAACGCTCCTCAAAAGATCCTGAGGATCAGATTTGAGACTCTAAAAAATGATTGATGGAGAATCAAGTAAAGCTGAGCTGCTTCAGTCCAGTAAGTGTTCATCTGGGAATATTACTGCAGTTATTCTGACCTTTACTTGATAAAAATCTGACAGCAGAAAGACACGTGAAGCTCCAGCTGAAGCTGGACGTTTCTACAATTACACTAAAAGAGCTTTAAACTCTAAACTATCTAGTGCATGGAGCAGATTGTGTTCAACAAGAGCAAAGTTTTGATCATGTAGATCGTTTAGAAATGTGCATGTCAAATGTAATGCAGTAAGCTTTATAAAGACTCATGAGACAGACTTATGTTTTGTAATAGAGTGATGAGTCACATGACATTAATGGCTCAGCTGATTGGCTGTGTGAGTCCTCATGAAGATGGCAGCATGGAGATGCATGCACATACTAACAGATAAACTCTCTCCAGGTGAGTGAAACCTCCTCCAGTGAACATTAACGCATCTCAAGCAGATTTACCTGTGATCAGATTGTCCACCAGCGTGATGGGAAGGCATAAGATGCCCACCAGCAGGTCGCTGATGGCCAGGTTGAGTATGAAGATGTTGGTGACGGTTCTCATCTGCCTGTTTTTCAGCACGATGAAGCACACCAGCATGTTTCCCAGCATGCACAGTGAGAAGATGAGCATGTAGGCCAGGATAATGACGGAGGCCACGGCGAGGGAATGCTGGTAGAACGGTAAGAGCGTGAGGTTTCTGCTGTCGTTGAAGAGCGTGCTGTGGTTAATACTGATGTTCTCGCTGTAGAAGAAGTTCAGATCCATTGCTGAGAGAGCGTCCAAATCTAAGACTGAGAACAGAGAGAGATCTTTGCTCAGAAATTATAGCTCTAGCAGAAAATGGCTGGATGATTCATTGCAAAAAAAAAAGAAAAAAAAAAAAGTTTATTTTACAGTCTTGTTTTTCAGTACAAATACCTAAACATTCAAATAAAGATACATTTAATGGAGAGATAAGAAGTCTTCAGCCTTCGTTTTTAGGCTGAAAACAAGAAAAAATGTGTGCCAGTTGGGTCAGAAAAATAAACTAGTTTTCCCTTTGAATTAGTTTTTTGCATGTTGACTCCATTGCCAGATGTTTGTTCTTGTTTTAAGCGTAAACTCAGTTCATTTTGATGCATTTTTCAGAAAACGAGACTTCTTATGTCATTTTTTAATCTCCAGTAAATGTATCTTGATTTATTTGTGCAAGACAAAAATACTGAAGCAGAAAATTTTTTTTATACTAATTAGCAATAACTAACATCACCTCTTTCATGTTTTCTGTGGGGGAGATTCTGCTGAGTTTAAAGATGCTGAAATGCATTAAATTAAGCTGTGAAGGTCCTTTATTCTTATCAGTCTTTAAATTAGCTGTAAGATCCAAATGTAGCTGCAAGCAGCAATTATGTGACCAGAAGCTGAAGGCAAATCGTTTAAGTTATGCCAAATGATTCGAGGGTTATGAGCAGATCTGACATTAATTTCTAACTTTGGCTGCTGTCACCGAACTCTTATCAAACTCTAATGCGCCTCAAGGCCAGTCATCCCAGTGTCATATATTACATTTTAATTGTGATATGCTGATGCATAAGCATCGTCCAGCCTCTCTGTTGACCGATAAGGTCTGAAGATTAACTTTACATCAACATAACGGACAGCCAACATGGACGACCTTGGAAAGATGGATTGTATTTTATTCCTAATGACGCAAGAAATCGAAAGACAGCAGAGCCAAGGCTGTAGGCAAAGGATTTCTATTTCTAAACAAATTTGCATGCTTTTCCAAACACTAGGTGGCGATGTTCTGAAACTGTTAAAAGGTGAAGGTTGCACTTAATAAGTTGTATTTTTTATTAAGTGAAACAAGTATCATAGTAGTAGTACTAATATCTTTATTTGTTTCTTCACAGTGCAATTTATGCAGCGTCAACATCACAAACAAACAATTTAATATAAGACATCACGACACAGTTACAAAACCCGGGCATTAATAGTACACCATTTCTTCATGTATTTAGATATAACATTTAAAATTCAAGATACACCTTAATCTTATGCTTCAAAGAAGTATTTACAATCAAAACTGTATTTGAAACAAAAGATCATAACACTAATGACTCTAAAGACACTCGCAACATTTGTGCAAATTATTAAAATATTGCTATAAAAAATTCTATATTACATTATCTGAAAAAATATGCATTAAACTTTATATATGTATTATTTAATATATATATATATATATATATACAAATTATTCAAATGAATTAATTTATTTAAAATGTATTATTATTATTTATTTATTAGATTTTATACATTTAATTTAATCATCAAATATAATGATGCATATATATATAATAACTAAATAAATATAATATAATGCATAAAATATAATAAATACATAAATACAAAAACAAATAAATAAATAACATACTTTAAATATTATATGGTTTAAGTATGGAAAATATATGAGATTTAGACTAAATTTTTGTTGTGAAAACTCAAAACAATGTATATCTAGTTAGTCTTCCTGTAGCTCAAAAAGTAGAGCATCATACTAGTGTCACCAAGATCATAGTTTCGATTTCCAGGAAATGCATGAACTGAAATAAATGTGTAGCTTCAGTGCAATGTTAGATATAAGCCTCTGCCTAACGTAATATAAATATTTTTGTGCTCAAATACTGTGTGCTAAACCTATTTTGGCGTGTAATAGCGTTTGAGATGAGCTTAGCCTCAGTGTTTTCTCACAGGGTTTGTAGCTGGAGCTCAGGTCTGCACTTTAACCTGCCGCTTGTCAGCGTCTCCTGGGCTTCTTTTCGAGATTCATCACATGTGTTTAGCATCTGTGCACTGAACTTGTGCATGATGTTGTGTCTTGACATGGAACTGATGCTAGAGACAGATGATGGTTTGGATGTATTAGATTAGTGTCATGAGTGCCAGGTTAATTTGGCACCTGTGTCAATGAGTGTTATTGCACTCCCGTTCTCTTTTAATTATTCATCGTCATGGGAACCAGATAAATGTCTCACCTATTGCTTCTGACACTCAGAAACATGTTTAGCTCAGCTGCTTGAGTGTGATTCTCAGAGACGCAGCATGTCTCTCCTCTGCATCTGTCATGCTAACCCTGCTCGTTAAATGTCCAGAATGATAGTGATTCTCTGTTTATCAGATTATTGCAGATGATATCAAGTGACGCAGGTGACAAAGAGTCAAGAATGAAACTTTACATGCATGTGTGAAGACACCTAAACGCCACTTCAGAAGCGCTTCTGTGCCACCTTTGCCATGTAAATCATATCCTCTTAGTCGACTAAAAAGGTATGATTTACACCGTAAAGGTGGCACAGAAGCGCTTCTGAAGTGGCGTTTAGGTGTCTTTACACAGACTTTTTAATGCTGCTCAGAGGTAGCATAAACAAAAATCACATTTCCACAAAAATGACAAATGCATACTTTAATACTAAGGGCTGAGATGGGTCTGAGCAGACATGGTTTAATCTGGCTTTTATGCAGCATTATGTCTTTACACAGAGTTTTGAGCAGGAACAGAGCATCCTTAATTCAGTAAAGGTGGCATAATGTAAAATACTGTAAACGTGGTACAGAAGTGATTTTGAAGGGGCATTAAGTGTCTTTACACAGACTGTTTAATGCAGATCACAGGTGCATAAATGCCTTTCCACAGCAATTAACAACCATACACTTATGTCATGGGCTGAGGTGCATCTGAGCGTGCATAATGGCTTTTATGCAGCATTACATATTTACACTGAATTTTGAGCAGGCACAAAGCAGCCTTGATTCAGCTGTGTAAATAGACCTTTATTCATATTTTATGGATATGATTATATCAGTTATGTTGCAAAAAGGAGAATTTTCCAATAGAAGAAAATCACTTTTAAAAGTTGCTACACGTTTTTTTAACTTAAAAAAAAAAAAAGACAAAAATCCTTCAGCCAGTTGATTTGAAGAAGCCAGTAGATTGCATGAATGTGGAATCATGTGCAAATAGAAACTCTTATCAAATTACTTTTCCACTGAAATACCACAGAATGCTGCACTCCAACCATCTGAAGCTTTGCCAGGTGTCATATATTGTTCTCTGGTGTTATTGTATCACCATAATTCATCATACTTTATCATATTATATTTTAATTCTTTAAGTCTGATATAAACAGTTAGACATGCTTCGTACACTGGTGTTGGAGGATGCACATACTGTGTGTATATGTGTATATATCTATATCTATTTATCTACATACACACACACACGCACATAATATATATATATATATATATGATTTTCTCCCGCACTAAACCGCAGTATATGACATGTAGATGACATGAAATTTCAGGCAGCGTGCTGCAATATGCTGATAAAATAAATTAACTCATTGAATACTTGTACTTATAACTTAATCTGTCAAACTACAAGTCTATATAAGTGACCTGCAAAAAATGCAATAAGGTGAAAACATGGTGATCAGTCATGCAGTAGCAACTAAATTATGCACTTTTCCCTCATACATTATGCATCATTTTTAACTTAAAATATTGATAATGAATTATTAGCAATGTTCCTGGACATGTTCTTTGTATTGTGTAACATCTGTAACCTCACCGCTGATCACAGAGAATCCAAACACATTACAACAGGTTCTGATCAGTCTGAGAGCCTGTTAACCTCCTCTGCTGTCATATCTAATGTATATCGGAATAATGCATGCAAATTACTTTCTACACTGTCATAGGAGCTTAGGAGCAGATACAGAACAAAGATGAACTGCATTTAGCCTTAAAGGATGTGTGTTTTGATGTTAATTAGCCTTAAAGGCATTGCTTGCGTTTTGAGAGTGTATACAGCCAACTTATTTAATAATAGTAATCCATATAAATGTAGCATACGTTATGCATTTAAATCAAACACTGAGCTGACATTATTAGTACATAAATATGAAATAATACTGCTACTAAAATAAAGCAAAATTTGATTGTTAATGGTTATATAATTTTTATTTGATTTTATTTACTTTCTTTTGCACATGCTGTCTGAAGTTAGATGTACAGATATTATTACAAAAGTTTAATCTGCAGATATTATTGTGGAAGCCTGGTATAAAGATATGAAAAGTTCTTACCTGCCAAAGTGTGTGGATCCTGCATCTGTCCTGCTGTATGTCAGTGAATGAGAGGCACTGTTGAAATGAGACACATCCGAGCACAATCCCAGCGCTTACTAATTATATCACATGCTAATTAGTTCCCCAGAAGATGCTAAGTGCTGAAATAACACTCATCAAATGTCGATACATTCAGACACATTCCTGCTCAGATGCTCGAGCTGCACTGCGCGATACGACCATCAGCAAGAGAGAGAGTGTGTGTGTGTGTGTGAGAGAGAGAGAGAGAGTGTGTGTGTGAGAAAGAGAGAGAGAGAGAGAGAGAGAGAGAATCGAAGAATCAGTAATTCTGTAACTTCTCAAATATTCTTGCTTATCGTTATAAACGTGTGCACATCAATCAAATGTGTGTCCGTCCACTTTGTAATACCCTATATGTGTGTGTGTGTGTGTGTGTGTGTGTGTGTGTGTGTATTACTTGTTTTTGATATCCTTCATATTCTGTGTG